TCCTCCCTTCTTTCCTCTCTCCCTTCTCCTCGCCCTCCCTCCCTCCCTCTCTCTCTCTCTCTCTTTTCTCTCTTTCATTTGATATTTTCTATGTCCCACGTTTTGATTTGGTGATTGATGATGAACTTTGGCTTTCAGATCTTCCTTTTGTTCTAAAGTACATACTGTCCTAAATCATTTTCTATTTTGGTGTTAATTAGTACGTCATTGGGCAGAGTATTGTCTAGGTGGCTGAATCTATGATGCTTTGGGGCTAAATACACTATTTTCCATTATAGCCTGATATGTAGCCTAGGTCACCTTTAGGTTTATTGACTCTGAGCTAACTCTGGAGTCATCTATAAACCTTTATTTATCATCTTGGCATATAATCAAGAACATAAGGATATAGCTGTTTGAGGATTTGAATGATCATGGCCTGTAGGAAAAAAAGGAGGCAGTGGGGGAAATTCTAGAATTTGGCAGATATCAATCAAGCCAGTTTAGTGACAAGACTAAATACTGCTTCACTAAGATTTTAAGACTATTTCATGATGATTTTACCATTCATTGTTAATTTCCATGTCATGAATTTCAGTTCTTTGGATCCAAAATTATATACATGGCTTAATTTAATTTTTCTATTTAATTCAGCACTGATATGGGTAAAGTAAAAGGCTGCAAGCTGGGGTAAAATAAATGAAAATTAAATTTTTTAGATTTTTGACTTTATTCTTTTTTAAAAAAAAAAGAAAAAGAGAGAGAATAACTATTTTCAGACATTTTTCGGTACCAGACAACTTGTAGAAGGTATTTTTCTTCCTTTAAAATGCTTTGTTAACTTCACAATATAATGAACAGCTTTGTATGTAAATAGTTAATACGCCCCTGGTGAGGAATTTATAGTTTGAGTAGAAAGACAATCAGATTAAAAGATGGTAACTCAAGACTAACCTGATACAAAGTATTGTCAAAAGCTTAACAGCAAAAGAATCATCAAAGGTACATAGGAAAATGCAAAGGGGAAACAGTAGTAATCACAGCATTAATCTCAGAGAAGACCTTAGGATTCAAGGATTAAGCAAAATTCATCTTTATTGACAAGATAGTGAGTTCTCAGTCGGAATGAGCAGACAGTTCCCCAGCTGTAGTTCCCTAAATTTTCTCTTGATTGCTCTGCCTCCAGGAACATTTCCACATTATCTCCATCCCCTCCGGTCCCATCATTCTAATTGAGTTACCTACTGGGTATGGCTCATGGAAAATTCGGGGCAAGTCATTTGTCTGTGCAGCCTGCTGGCCTTCCCTTCAACACCCTGCCCAAGGGCAGGCTTCTCTCTTTTCTTATGTGCTCCCTTCCACCACCCCACCCTCCTACTTATTTCTCTTCAAACAATTATTCCTGAACCTATCTTGGCAGTTTCCTTCTCTTCTTTCTAGTATAGAGGTATGGCTCTACACTGGCTTACAGACATATTCATGCTCCCCTGTCAAGCCAGAAGCCTGCCTGACCTCTGCAGGGTGACTTCTGGGACTCAGACAGGGCAGTGACCAAGGGCTGTTTCTCTCTTCAAAAAGGCTTAATTACCCATTCATTTGGTGTCATTTCAAACATCTTGTTCTACTTGAGACCAACTATGAAGTATGTTCCAAACTTTGCAAGTGAAGTTATATATTTACCTTCATACAGTAGTCCCACCTTATCTATGGTTTCACGTTCCTCGCTTTCACTTGCAGTATAGTATGATAAGATATTTTGAGAGACACAAGAGACCACACTCACATAATCTTTATTACAGTATATTCTTATAGTTATTCTATTATTACTTAATATTTTTAATCTCTTACTGGGCCTAATTTCTAAATTAAACTATGTAATAGCTATGTATGTATAGGACAAAACATAGTACGTAGGGAGTTCAGTACTACTTGTGGCTTCACACATTTATGGGGGGTCTTGGAATGTGTCCCCCACAGATACCAGGGGACTACTATATATGAATTCATGTTGTAATATGGCTATTTCTCTGTCTCTCTCTTTCACACACACATACCACCTTAAAATTTTTATATATGACTTCTCGTAGTGTTTTGGTTAAAGATAATTTTTTTTTACATGGTCTCACATAATTTATCATCCAAACTGGGACAGTGTGAGAGAAGGGATTATGCCAAGTCAACAGGAGTAAGCCAAGATGAATAGCCTCCCTGCAAGGCTCTCCACGGTCTGGATGCTGAACTTGTCAGCCTCACCTTGCAATGTGCTCTTCCTTACTCTGTGTGCCCCAGACTCACAGGCCCACTTGACTTACTGCTTACTCTTGCTGGAAAGTCTTTGACATCCTTTTTCCTCTACCTGGAGAGAGCCTCGCCTCTGCTCTCTTATTCACCTAATAAACTCCCCCTATTCATTTTTCAGATTTCTCTCCATTGTAATTTCCTCAAGAATGCCTTCTAGGCTGGGTGTGGTGGCTCATGCCTGTAATCCCAGCCACTTGGGAGGCTAAGGCAGGAGGATCACTTGAGACTAGGAGTTCAAGGCTGCAGTGAGCCGTGACTGTACCACTGCACTCCAGTCTGGGTGACAGAATGAGACCCTGTTTCTTAAAAAGAAAGCCTTCTAGGACTTTCCTAACTTGATCCGTTCTCTCTCATTATTCGTCAGAGTACCATACTTTATCATATTTAGATAATTCTTGGATTAATTTCTGTCCTCCATTAAAGTGAGGTTTAATGTGGGTAGAGACCATATCAGGGTTTTCTCATCATTTATTTTTTCATCACTCATTAGGCATGTAGTAAAAACTAAATAAATATTTGTTAGATTAATTAATTTCTTTTTTGAGGCAGGGTCTCGCTCTATTGGCCAGGCTGGAGTACAGTGGTGTGCTCTCAGCTCACTGCAACCTCCACCTCCTAGGCTCAAGCCATCTTCCTACCTTAGCCTCCCGAATAGCTAGGACTACAGGTGAACACCACCATGCCTGGCTAATTTTTGTGTTTTTAGTAGAAACAGGGTTTCACCATATTGCCCAGGCTAGTCTCGAACCCCTGGCCTCAAGCAATCCACCCACCTCCGTCTCCCAAAGTGCTGGGATTACAGGTGTGAGCCACCTCACCCAGCAGGTTAATTAATTTAAAAGAGGAAGATGAAGATCAAGTTTATTGCATATCCTTAAATATTTAAGTAGAATTAATTCTGATATGCCCCTTTGATTTTTGCTTAAAATACATAGTGCATTTTAAATTTATAACTGAAAATGTTCAAAATTTAAAATTTTTATTATACATGTTATACACAAATAGAAAATTTCTATGCTCATTAAATTTGTTGAAAAAAAGTTTTTTTGGTCAAGGCTGTTTTTTTCTTACATAGCATGCCTGTCTATTATTTAGGTTTAATACATGGAATCAGATGTGGTTTCAAAATCTCTATGTTAGCACATTGTTCTTTTTTCCTAAGGGAAATATAAAATTAGGAGTAACTTACTGTTGCTTTAATTTTAGATTATGTACATTTTAAAGTCAGATATACAACTAGGTTATGAATAATATATGTGAGATATTTCAAAAAGTAAAATGCATTTTTTTAAAAAATTGTTAACTTCTGAGTAGCAATTTAATCACAAATTAAATCAAGGCTCATATGCATGTATTGATTTAACCATTTAAATGTACTTGATTTGAAATCAGTGTGTCCTGATGGAAAGATTGGGAGGGGAGGATAGAAAGAACAGTGCATACTTTTCCTGGAGACATTGAAAGTTGCCTGGCATAAATTCAACACAGAGAAGGAAGATTATGTTGTTATTCCTGATTTCCTTGGTCATTTGTCTTGGGGGGGGAACAATTGCTACATTCCAGTAACAAGTTTTCTGAGGCTTACTGATAGCTCCATGACACATTAAGTACTGATGTCGTTTAATTATAATTTAAGTCAGATTAAATTATTCTATGTAGTTAAAGTAGAATCAAGCATCCTGCAGATGCTGCACTAATTATAGTTATTGATGGCCTACTTTTTCTGACCTAAAAAGGTAAATGAGGGAGGGAATTGTCTTTGCCTTTGAGGGATTTTCCCTCTAAAAGAGATTAGTTCACTGTCACTGCTGTTTATTTTCACCTTACACTTTTCTAGAATCGTCATAAAACTGCACAGTACTGAACTAATCGATAGAAAAGGCAGATGAATATTCTCCCAAAGGAGAAAAGACTTGGCAGGTCAAATTAGGCATGTCAGATCTCTCTCCCCACTCCAATTAGAAATTGTAAAGTTTTATAAACAGGTGCTTTAAGCAAAAGATGGGATCTGTGAATCAGGAATACATATGAGACTAATTTTAAAAGCTATTACAATTTTTAAAATAATTCTCTAAAAAGTTTCCTTTTAAGTGTTTTTAGAATCTATTCTAGAAAAAAACTCAATAAATTATCCTTTGTTAATGTTTTATTTAGTGGTGTGCTTTTTCCACAGATTAGATTGTTTACTTTTTAAGATAAATTTGTGTGTGTGTGTGTGTATGCATATGTGTGTTTTTCTTTTTTGTTGTTTGTTACTGTTTATTAATGTTCGATTAACAGAGGCTTAGCTTTGGTGCTTTCAGGCTGAGAACTAAAGGGATGATTTGTAGAAAACCAAAGTAGGTCAAAGAGTACCATGGTAGCAAAGGGGAAGTCCCTGAGTTTAGTTACATTGTCTTGCCTCTGGTGGAGTTCAATTTGATTGTTATAGTTGAGGCCTGTCTTCCTGTGAGTGGAAGAAATAATCAAACTGCAGAAGTCTCGGGAATATTATCATAAGTAACTTTAAAACAATATGTTATTGTAAGTTATAGTGGGGGGAGGGGCGGTAGGAGCAGCAAAGGAAAAATAAAAAGTAGAATTGAATTTATCACTAAATTAATTTCACAAATCAAAAGCAAAAATATGCATGAATATGACAGCTTCCCTAAGTATGATGTAAGGAGTACTGTGTGAGTCCCTGTGGGATGGAAACTAGCATTTCAAATTTTGTCCACTTTGTGCTTGCTTCAGCAGCACATACGCCAAAATGGAAACAATACAGACAAAATTAGCATGCCCCTGCACAAGAATGACATGCAAATTTGTAAAGCATTGCATATTTTAAAAATAAAAATGCAAACAAAACTTTGTCCTCCTATTCTTCTTTTTTATATATAGGCATTATGGAAGTGACCCTGTTTTGAAATCAAGGAGCTGTTCCAGGCTTTAACAATCATGTCATGTTAGTTCTGAACATATGCAATTAAATAAACATTAAAAGTAAACCTACTGATGGTTGCAATGGCAACTGTCACACTTTTATGAAACACCATTTTGTGTCTGCTTTGCTGTGATTAAGCAGTACTATTAGAATCCAGAAATGTACTCTGGCTAGCTTCAAAGATCTTAGACTGTTTTTTACATCTCAAATGAATTTTTCTTAAAATTAAATTTTAAGAAATAGCTTCCTCAGGTTGGTTAAATGTTAAGAAGTTATCTGTAAATTATATATCTATATATGTGTGTATGTATATATATATATGAAGTGATATATATATGGAGTTACATAAATTTTGAAAACTTCATATTATATTTGATGTTTCCTCAAATATAGTATACTTGATATTTTGGGTTATGTTATCTCTTACAGCAGAAGATTTATTCTTTGACTAAATTTCCTTTCTTTAGGTACTCCCCCCATCCCTTTATATGGGCAAGACCCCCTTGAGAATATTAAGCCTTTTAGCTCAGAGTTTTACTGAAGCTATTTTCTATTCTTATATTTGCCAAGATTTGCTGACAACTTAAAAAGCTGTCATTTGAGTGAACACCAGTTGCCTAGATTGTTTGATGATTTTGGTCAAGTGTGGATCAGGATTTCCGGTCATTTTTCTTCGTCTTCTGGGGATGTATAGCCTCTATCTCTGAGCAATTGTACACTTGGAAAGAAAAAACAAAGCAAGGTCACTAGATCTAAATTACTTTTACTTCTGTGCCAAATGAAAGCTTTCTTCTGTTATGTGTTACAATGTTTGGCATCTTTTGGCATCCAGAGAGAGATACGCAGTTAGGAGGGGAATGTGGGATTGTATAGGAGAGATTTTTCTGAAACGAACTGTTACTTTTTCTGTAGTCATGCATCACCTAATGATGGGCATACATTCTGAGAAATGTTGTTGGGCAATTTTGTCATTGGGCAAACATCACAGGGTGTACTTACACAAACCTAGATGGTATAGCCTACTGCACACCTATGCTATATGGTATAACCTAGTGTTCCTAGGCTACAAACCTGTATAGCATGTTACTGTACTGAATATACACTGGCAGTTGTAACACAATGGTAAGTATTTGTATATCTAAATATATCTAAGTCTGGGCAACATGGTGACACCTCATCTCTACAAAAATAAAAAAATTAGTCCCGTGTGGTGGCACATGCCTGTAGTTCCAGCTACTTGGAAGGCTGAGGTGGGAGGATCACTTGGACTCAGGAGTTTGAGGTTACAGTGAGCCGTGATCATGCCACTGCTCTCCAACCTAAGCAACAGAGTGAGAGCCTGTCTCAAAAAATAATAATTAATTAATATATCTAAACATAAAAAAAGGTATAGTAAAAAAAATGGTGCTATACAGTATTAGGGGACTCTGTTGTATATGCAGTACATCATTGACTGAAACATCGTGTGGTACATGATTGAACCTCATCTAGAGACAGCTACTTCCTTCTTTTGGGCTGAAACATGTTCCTGGAATTGATGTGAAAAAGCAGATTATCATCAAGAGAAACATTTTCCTATAGATTATAAGATCCAGCAGCTTGGAAAACATTTCTGAATTCTTTGTGTTTTGGGGTATAGCTGAACAAAGTTTTTAGTATGTCAAAGGGAGACATGTTTTAAGAAGTAGGCATTTTACTAAAAAGTATCGTAATTGCTTACTGAATGAAGGGGATAATCCTTGCCACTGCCTTTAAATACTAGGAGTTCCTGCAGGGCAGCCTGAATATTTTTTTCTGGATCAGGAAATAAACAACTGGGTTCCAGAAGATAAGAGAAGTATAAACTTCTGAGCAGAGGCAGATCCTTGAATAAAAGGAAGCTTTCTTTAGAAACAGTAATCAGGTGTTGGGAATTGTTGAGTATCTCAGTCTGGAATGTGTTTGGCTGCAAATAACAAAAAAAACCTACTATGTAATATAAACAGATAGGGGTCTGCCTCCACAGGAAGTCTTAATTAGGCAATCCGGAGCCGATGGTGATGTTGAAGGATGTTAATAAAAACTGTCTGCCATCCTTAGAATGTGATTTTTATCAAGGTCATTAAAAGGCAGTTGTACCTTCAGGCATCACTATATTTCTGGCATCTATTGCTATGTTACAAAATTACCCTAAAACGTATCAGATTAAAATAATAAATATTAATTATCTCACATAGTTTCTGAGGTTTGAGAATTCAGGAGTGGCTTAGCTGGGAGGTTCTGGCTCAGGGTCTCTCCTGAGGTTACAGTCAAGATACCAGCTGGGGCTGCAGTCCCCTAAAGGCTTGGTTGAGCTGGAGATCTGCTTTCTAAACTAACTCACATGGACTATCAGCAGGAGGATTCAGTACCACAGGGATTTCTCTTCAAGGCATGGCGATGGGCTTCTCTCTGAACAAATGATCTGAGAGAGTGGGGAGGGTCTAGAGTGTGTGTGTCAGGAGGGAGAGGACAGATAGAGACAAGAACAAGATGGACATTGCAATATTGTTTATAACCTAATCTTCGAAGTGAGCTGGCACTCCTGCCATATTCTTTCATCACAGAACCCGATACAGTATGGGAAGGGACTACACAAGGATGTAGTCCCTTCAAGAGGCAAGCATCATTGGGAGCCATCTTGGAAGCTGCCTCCTACACACCACAAATATGTACTAAGCAGTAAGAAGGAAAGTAAAGAGGCAGTGCTAGCAGATTTCTGTTTGTATCTCATTGGTCAGAACTGTGTAACATAGCTTTTCAAGGGAGGCTGGGGAGTCAAATGTTTAATTTTCACAGTCTCTGTAGTACAGACAGACAGAAGGAAGTTGGAAATGGAACTTGGTTAGCCTACTGTTGTTCATTGTCAGCCACTACCAGGGATTTGATGACAGTGACTACTTTTAATATGGCTGTATTGCCTGTTCTTAAAGTTAACAATGCATCTTCTAGGAGATTAAAAGTAGACCAGAAAATGTGTTGTTGTTGTTTTTTCTGAGACAAAGTCTTGCTCTGTCACCCAGACTGGAGTGCAGTGGTACAATCGTGGCTCACGGCAGCCTCAACCTCCTGGGCACAGGTTATTCTCCTGTCTCAACCTCCCGAGTAACTGGAACCATACACAGATGCACACTACCATGGCTGGCTAATTTTTAAATTATTTGTAAAGATGAGGTCTCCTTATATTGCTCAGGCTGGTCTTAAACTCCTGGGCTCCAGCAGTCTTCCTGCTTTGGCCTCTCAAAGAGTTGGGGTTACAGGCATGAGCCACTGTACCCAGTGACTTTTTAAAGTGTGTTGGTTTCTCTAGGTGTTATAGAAATAAAGTTCTCCTGCCACCTAGCTAACAGAAATAGCTAAAGGTTACTAAATTGTGAATCATAAGTAGTTGTGAGGAAATTTTTGGTTACTTTCTCCTTTCTATTCTTTTACGTTTGTTTGCATAAAATATTTTGGCAGTAAAAATTCTGAAATCTAAAACTATACCCAATGCCTATGTTTTCAGATCTAAAAAGATAAATTCTTCCCAACAACAAACATTGAGTACCTACCATATATCATGGACAATTAATATAGAGCTTACAAAATTTTTAGAAATTTAAAAATAATATGTTAGGCACTATTTTACTTGATGATAATTTTATTTTTAGTGGTTACTAGATTTTTGAAAACTATATTGTTGATTGAAATAACCATTCTGTTTTTTATGTATTCTTTCATTAGTTAGTACCAAATTACATTTCTGAAAAATACCACACAACTTGGAAACATGAAAGTAGAATCTGAAAAGGTAGGGACCCAAGAAGGATTGGAGAGGAAAGTGAAGGGAGTTAGATGCAAAAAATAAATTGAAGGGAGATGAGGAGGATTATCCTGTCCTCGCTTTCCTCTCTTCACGCAGGGGCCAGGTAGAAAGAGGACTCTGTCTTCAGGAAGGGGAAGCACAGAGCAATTAGCAGGTAGAAGTGAGGATTAGAAGCTTGTATGAGCAGATGTCATGCCTTGAAAACATATCCATAAGTTTCGGACAAAAGGCTGGTTTGATAAATATACTGGAACAGCTGTTCACATTTGTTAGTGTGAGGTAACACACACTAAGAGTTGTGTTACCTCACACTAACAAATATAACTGCTATTTCATTTGACCTTAAGTTAGGGAAGGTCTTTTAAAGCATAAAAACAAGAAAAGAAAGCTTTAATAGAAAAGATAGTATTGAATGCATAAAAATTAAGTACATCAAAAAGTACCTTAAATTTAAAATATAAAACCACAAGTTGGAAAAATGAGTTGTATCACATATGAAAGAGCTAATATTCTTAATATGTAAAGAAGCTCTTAAAGTCAATCAGAAAAAGACAAAAATAGAAAAATGGATGTTATAAATAAAAATTTTGAACAAGTGTGCAAAAAAGTTCAACTTCATAATAACAACAGGTGTTCTTTAAGAGACTATTTTTTGTGTGCCTACTACCTTAGTAGATTGTCTTTCAGGAGATGATCCTCGTGTAGGTCAGGGTGTTATGAAATGGGCTTTCTTATACACTGCTTGTAGGCATGTAAATTGGTGTTATGTAATTTTATCTTTTTATCAGTAATTCCACTTAGGGCAAAAATAATATTTCTTCACAATAGAGCTCTAAAGGAATTATTTACTGTATTTTTTAAGGATTATAAAAAATCAGTTATAAGAATATCTTTTGAAACTGTATATTTCACCTTTAGACTGTATCACTCTTCTTCTGTTAAACTGAGAAAATTAATGAACTTGTTTTTTCCTTCCTCTCATCTATCTTTGTTAATCAAGTTATTATTTTAATATTCTTAAGATTTATGACACTTAAGTTCTATTCCATCATCATAACTTCCAGAGTTAGTCTTAGTTTC